TATACCACCCATCTCTCCCGACGGGGGACTCTGGGCGGCTCACAATAATAAAAAAGAAGGAAAAAAACAGGTCTCTCCAGACATGGATACAATCTATAAATAATTTAAAAAATAATTATATATAAAAACATATATAAACATATATTGCCATTTTGGCTGGCAATCAAGGTGGTTGCTTCAAAAAATATGCAATATGTGTATTGCCAGGTTTCTCAGCAACCTGGCCACTGCCAGCTGCCAGCTGCAGCTTCTAAACCATGTGTTGAGGTAGCACCATACAGAGTGCACTGATCTAAACTGTAGCTAGGCTGTCCCCATCTGGGAAAAGGCATACATGCATTGCAAACCTAAGCCAATAGTAGGTATTCCTAACCATGGAGGTCATTTGGGCCTCCAATGGCAATGAAAGCTTGAAGAGCACCTTCAAACTATCAACCTGTTCTTCCTGAGGGAGTGTGACTCCATTTATAACAGATAAACTCCCCAGTTCCCAAATCTGGAAACAGATGGAGAATTATCATGGGTAATTTCCAATTAAGTTTGCACCCAGCACACTCCCAGTCAAGCCTTCCATCCAGATCAGACCAAACACCTATGCCATTCAGTCCAGCTAGCAAAAATATAGCATGTTTATTTATTAAACATTAGTAAACATTTGAGTTAATGGCAAAACAGGATAAAAGACAGGCAAAAACAGGGAGAAAGAGAGAGAGTTGAATTTATATTACCTATGTAGCTATATCGAAAGACGCAGATCTTTCCAGAGCCACTGGAAACAATACAGTGGGTAATTAGCATGGACAGTCCCAACTGAGATGGCCTTTGGTTGTTCCAGCTTTAACCCTTTTATGTACATAACAGCAGCAAAATAGAAATGGAGAGTAGAAATGGAGAAATGGCATTCTGTACTATATTCCACAGAATATTCTGTACTATAAAGGGAACAATTTGGTGGGTGGGGATGATGTACCCAGCAAAAACCACATGTCCCACCCACATGTTCTTTGACTTGTTAGGATTCCCGTGCCTTCTTTCAGGACTTTTGCTATCTTCCTTATCTCATTTATAGCTCTGGAATTCCCTGGTGATTTCCCACTCAGGAACTAATCAGGCCTGACTCTGTTTAACCTCTGACCACATGGGTCAGTAGTTATGACAGCCCATCTCAGCCAGGAGGACTTTGGGCTCTAACTTTTGCTTTGCTTTCCTCATTGAAATATCATTTGGAGGAAGTGACTTCTTGCTTCTTTCTGGACATCCCCTTGCATTGTTATCACAGTAACAACCCCCCAAATATTACCACTGCTAATACTAAAAAACATTATACTTATAAATCTGTGCTATTGTGTCAGTTCAACATTAAATGTCCTTATTACTCTTGAACCCTTAACCTTCTCTTCCTTGATTTAGGTCATCAAAAAGAAGAGAAATGCAAAAGTAAGCAAAATGCCAAATCAGAATGAAGGTTGCAAAGTGTGGTGTGATTAATTTTCACTTCCTACTGAATTGCTAAATTAGGGAAAGAAATGGGGTTGACACCTTTGTCTCAACTGTTAAGACATTCAAGCAAGGCTGTTTGCTTAGTGAAGTTATTAAAGGAGATTAACTACCCTGGAAACAGTTCAAAAGATCAAGTGTCTTTTCTGGTAGTGGCTTTTCAACATCAAAATGGCACGGATTGAGAAGGTGCCCACATCACTTAGTTGATTTCACAATGGAGCAAGGGGCATCTCTACATTTTAAATCAGAAGTTCAGATCAATTAAAAGTTTGAACTTGCTGAGGACTCAGCCCAGATACTAGAGCCTCTTTATCTAAGCTTCTTAAAGGCTGTTAGTCTCTGCCCCTCATTGCATTTGCTTGTCTTTGCCATGCATCCTTGTATCTTTAATAGCTTATATGATACAGAGAAAATTGCTATATCCAGAAGAAGAATGCCATTATCCCCACTTATAGGCTTCCATCTTTTAATTGCAAAAAAGTGAAAAATGTTGGTTGTCATGAAGAACAAAACCTCATTTTAATAGGTTTGTCAAGTTGTCCAATGCTTCCATTTATCTTTTACTTTTACTACTGATGGTTGTTATATGAGCTGTTTAACTAAATCTGCCTTTCTATCTGTCCTGCAGGTATATAAGCACTGCAGTGCTGAAGTTTCCCAACCAATGCAGTTTTTAAATGTTGGTCCAGGAATTCTTTGGAAATCTCAAAATATGTGAAGGGCACCAGGTTGGAGATGCTCATCATTTGGGCTAAAGGGTTTCCAAATAGTACCATTATGGCTTAAAAGACCTGTGTGGCAGCAGTGATGCCCAGCCCCTAATCTTCCTAATAAAGATGTTTAAGAAGAGGGCAAATCAGCTACAGAAGATTTGTATTGGAATCTTCTCTCAGAATTCAGGTCTGATTATGGGACAGAGATGGCAATAGTTGCTTTGACTGATGACATTCATCGGGACCTAAATGGGGGGAGTGTGGCACTCATGATGTTGGTGACATGTCATACTATCAACCATGGTATTCTTTGAGACTGCCTGCAGAGGCTGGAGTTGGGGTTTGTTTTATAAGGTTCTTTTCCTCCCCGAGTCAATGGTTATGGGGGTTCAGCACTGAAAACTCTGGGAACTCCCATAAGGAGTACTTCAGGGCTGCATGGTCTCCCTCTATGTTATTTAAAATCTACATAAAACTGCTTGGAGTGATCAGTTTGGGGTGAGCGGGTCATCAATATGCAGATGACACATCATCATCAGTGGAGATGTCACCAAACTGGAGACATTGAAGAAGTCCTATATCTATCCCTTGAGACTATAAGAGTCTGGATGGTGTGAAAGAAGCTCACATTAAAACCCACCAGGTCGGTATTTCTAGTTGTCAGTAGACATCTGGAAAACTTACTTTGCCGGAAGAACCTGTTTTGCATCATCTCCATTTTGCACCCATAGGGCAATTCTAGAAAGGCTGATTCAAAAATAAGGAGAACTGATTTTGGTGTGACCAAGTAAGCATGCTTATAATTGCTGTCTAAACTTGTTTTTCCCCTAACCATACTAGGAGCAGCTATTGCACTTAATGAAGCTCATGTTGGTATAGTACATCAGATTTGGTTATCAAATTTTCTAAAAAGAATATAAAAGGGTCATGGCACAGTGATCAGCAGGCTCAGCCACAGAACATCACAGGCTGCAAATGAATTCCGGATACAGAATAAATTGCTTCATTGATATCACATGATTTGGCCTTTCATCGCATTGCAGGAGCAGAGAACCTTCACTAACCCATCTGGTTTATATATCCTGCTGATGTATATCCAACTCTTCACTATACTAAATATTCAGCAGACTAGATCTCCTGGTTATTTTTAAAGCTTTGGTCCGCAAGCTTTTCTCTTTCGGAAAAAGCTTCATAGGACCACGTTATTTTTGTAGGGATTTTCCAGCATTATCCCTGCCTTTAAGAAAAAAGTAGTACAAGAAGAAAAAACAGAATATTGTGTATTTTCAAATTTAAATAATTGAGAGCAGAGTATTGAAGTTGCTATGAAGACACTGTGTTTCTCTGTTGCCCAGCTCACCTGGTGCATCAGTTGTGACCCTACCTGGTCCAGGGGGACCCAGCTACACTAACTTATGAATTTATTACCATCTGGCTAGACTACTGTAACACACTCTACTTGGAGCTGCCCTTAAAAACCGCTCAGAAACTACAATTTCTGAGAAGACACCAGTTTTGCAGACCCTGCATTGGTTTGGCATCTGGATATCTGCAGGACCACCTACCCCAACCTGACCAATGAGATCAGAGAGAAATTGTTACTGATCCCACATTTAGGGGGCTAAAGCAAAAAGGCACTGCTTTTCTGTGACAATATTGAAACTCTGGAACAGCCTCCCAGCTGAGATCAGGCTAGCCACCCCTCTGTGTTGACATGTTGGATCCTTTCAAGGAATTGTTCCAAAGAACCTTCTCCTAATCTTAGTATGCCACTTTCATTTCTTATTTTTATTGTTTGTAATTTTCTGTTCAGGTGTTGTTGTTTTACTGTTTTTATAGTTGTTATATTGTGGCTATTTTATCTGGTTTTACACTTTATATAAATCATTAAAAGTCTCTGGATTGCAGTTGAGTAGAAATGTGAAAAATCAATCAATATGTTTGCATTTTAAAAATATGTAAAAATTACATTAATATTTCCTACACTTGTGAAAATTAAACTATCTAATAAAACTATGTGAGCAGAGATTGAAAAAATATACCATGAAGGTGAGATAGTGGTCTACAGTGTTGCACAGATTGGAGTTAACAGAGAACAGAGCAGAACAACTTGATGTTATAGTGTATTATTATTTAAAATCCTGATAAAAGATCTTGAGGTAGAGATTACAACCAGTATGTATTGGTGATCTCTAAATTTTGAATGGGGGTTGCATCTGACAGTGACTTATTTCATAAGGCTTTAGAAGCTGACTCAAAATCGTTGATGCTGATCTCCAGAATATGAAACATGCATCAATTATCAAGATATAGTATGACAACACAACATAGAAATTGATGTCGTGATTGAACTTGTATTGCCATCAGTCTTCTTCATCCAAAATCCATAATTATAGCAATGTCTTTATCAGGACAATCCAAAGGTCACAAAACCATATTCAAAACTTTTCAATCTTCAGAACTTTTCACCATACAGTTGCCAAACAAAATAAAAAAGGTGGAAACCTTCTTCCAGGTTTTTCATCTTCACAGTCTCGTCCACAGCTCTGTGATCTCCTGATGTGATCTCCCCCATCCAATCATTAAGGAGGTCCATCTTGGCTTAGCTCTTTCAAGATCAGCCAAGGTCGGCTAGGTGTTGCCATCTACTGTGTCCCTAGGGTTTCTGAAATGAGGAAGCAGTGAGAAAATTGTATTCTGCCTGTAGGAGTCAGGGCAGCGTATATGGCATTTCCTCTTCCCATTTCCCCCCATAACAACGCTGTGATGGAGATTGGGGAGGGGGGCTGAGAGAGAGAGAATGTCTTGTACAAAACCAACCATGAGTTTCCACAGCTGGACTCAAATTTGGGTCTCCTGGTGCCACTCTAGACCATTACACCACAGCGGCTTTCTATTTTCCAGATCTGAGTCCTCGGTTGATGAAATCCATAGGTAAATTCCTGGATAGATGCTGAAATAATCATTAAAGAGAAATATATCCTCCACTGAACCAAGACATTTCTATAACCCTAAATCTAATTAACCTATCTCTCCAAACACTAGCATAAAATGAAATGAAATAAAATAAATTCAGCAAACCACATTTGTTGTACCCTTATTTTTAGCTAAGCTGTACAAACTTTCCAAAAGCTATGACAGTTTTCTCTGCACGGTTAAGGGACTTCGTCGATACTCCGGCTGGGTGATAATAAAAAAAATACTACAACTCCCAGAAGTCATTGGGAAAAGAATTGAAGGGAGAGCTTTTGTTGGATTTTGGTTTAGCTGCGAAATGGCTTCTGGGATATGTCGTTCAAGTTTTTCGACAGCGACGTAGGCTTCCACGGGCCTCTTCGGAGCGAGAAAACTTCTCAACCCATCAAGCACCGGGAAAACGAAGCCGGAAACTGCGCTCCGAGTCCGGAATTGAACGGTGGGGCTGCGCGCGCAGGCGGGAGAAACGGAGGTGCTTGCTGGTGAGGAGTTTCGCGCACGTCTGAAAGGACACCTGCGTAAGCGGCCGTTGGTCTAGTGGATATACGGGGTGGAGGGGAGGCGTCCTCGGCATGTGTGGGGAGGAGGATACGCGAGAAGAGGATCTGTGGCCGAGAAGCCCTAAGAAAATTTCCCAAGCAACCGCTGTCTTCCGGCCTTTGCCTGCAGCGCCTGGCCATCCGCGACGTCGCCTGGCTTTTAATAGCCCTGCCCTCTACGATGTGGGCCTAATCCCTCTTTAAGCCTGTGGCTCGGTTGCTAATAAGACGTATTTAAAACAAAAAACAAAAAAACCTAGTTTCTCTTGTTCTTCCTGCCTCTTGGGACAGTGAATTTTTCGAAGCTGGTGGATTCAGATTTTTTCCTGCCGTCACTTCTAAGACTGAAGGGAAGGAAAGGCCACCTGCTTTGAATTATATAGTCAGTTCCCAAGGGTGAAAGGCAATAATTTTATATGAGAAGAAACATCCCCTTTCTCTAGGAAGTCATGATAACCATAATGCTTTGCCCGTTGAAGTGTCCAAAGCGTCTAACAGATCTATGGTAACATTCATATAGTTAGGTGGCCCTGCTCATATAAATAATAACTACTGCATAACAGATCCTTAACTCGCTTTTCATTTATTTTATATTTTCCCCCTTGTAACTGGTATGGTTTTTAAATTGGGGAAGGGCTGTTTTTCCCATTATAAATAGCTTTTTTAGTAGAATTCTTAGTGATTGATCATTGATTATCAAATGCATATTCATATATGTCTGGCAAGCCAGCCTGCTTTCTTCTTTTAGATTTGAACATTAATATCTCTGTAGCAGAGGATAACTGATATATAAACCTCATTGCCTTAAAAAAAAATTTCCTAGTAAGAAAGACATGCTTTGTTCCCCCATTAATGTTTTTCTCACTTCCTCTTACCTGCCCAAAATGACATGAAAGCTGTGGACATGTTGCAGTCATGGATTCAGGCCCATCAGAAATATATTTGTTAAGTCTGTCTTTTAAAATAAGGATAAAAACAGGAACTTAACTTACTTCAATAACAAGCTTGATGGGAAAGAAAAAGATAATATGCTCTTTGGCTTTCCCACAGTTGAGATAGCAAGGACCAAGACAACTATGGAAGATTTTGATGGGGACTTCTCCAGTCACAGAAAAGCCATTATGTCTGAATTATGTTGCAATCAGATTGCTGCAAACATCCTGTGAGTCTTTTCTCTCTGGAACAATTTTATTTACTGCCCAATTGTGGGGAGGAGGTGAATGGATCAGAGAGAGAAACAAGAAGCTGTAATGTGCATTTCTTTACTCTACTTTTCTTAGTGCCTGAAAAACAAAGCTCTTAAGTTGGGTTTGCTTCTTTTCTTTCTGTTCTCCTCCAATTATATTCTTATGCTTGGGTGGTTTAATTGGGTTATTTTGTTGTTAGTGATGCTTTAAATGGTCTTACAGATCAAGTAGCTGTGTAAGTCAAACACTGAGGTACAGTACCTGATATCGGTGCCTAATGTGCAATAATATATAGCTACCCAAAAATTCCACTGGATATAAATTGGATTAATAAATAAAATAAATATCTTTGCTTTCTAGTTTTAAAAGGATTATTTGCAGATGATAACATTGCAGAGCTAGAGACTACACTTACCAAAATGACAAGTACTATTGATATACTAGAAAATTGCAACTCCACATTTTTTGATTGCGCTGATGATATGTCCAACCTCTTACTGCCAGGGTACAGGATCTCAGAACCTTGGTGGCTTTTACTGACCCAGAGGATGGAATACTGGTTCAAACTCCAGATGGTGAGTGGCTAGAAGGTTCTTCCATGCCTGTTTACCATCACCATAAAGTACATTCTGGTACAGCTCTTTGTCAAATATAGTTTTCCCATGTTGGGGAATCTGTCACTAAAGAATAAGAATTAGTGCTGTTGGGCTACTAAACATGCTTAAGTACCTGAAAAAGCCTTCAGGCTTCAAGAATAGCGTGTAGCTGTCCCAACAAACCTAATGTTTGTCTACACACAAAAGTAGTACAGAATTGTAATTAATTTGGAGCACCAAATATCATTTTGGAAGCCATTTTAGAGAATTGTCAAAACAAAATGAAGCCATTTTATGTTCCGGACTTGTGCACAATCCTTCTAAGTGGTAATGGCTCCCACATCAGCGCAAAGAAATTATTGCATTACAGGTGCAGAAAACGGAACACATAATTTACCAAAGAAGCCACTAGTTTATACTAAATATTATCTCTAACTTCAAACAAAAAGCAAAATATGATAACTGTAGATTATTTACTATTATTAAGTTTTTTTATTCTGTCTCACAGTTTTCGATAGTATTCTGCAGTAGATCATAGTTTTCCTCAGCTTGTTTTTTACATTTTATTTCTTGTAAGCAAGAACTTTGCTGTATTTAAGGCAGCTGATCTTTAATGTAAATTCTTGGTAGGTTGGTACTGATAGGTAGCCTACTACTCTTAACAAAATCTTAATTAAAATTAAATTCTGTTCTCTGGGCTGAAATCTAAAACACTAAAAATTGACCAGCTGAGAGTTGCTCCAAAAGTATGATTACTGGATGTTTGCACTTTGTAAAAGGAGATGCACTGATGGCATTTAATCTAGAAAGAATAGCAGAAATAGGCTAGAATTTGTACTCTATCTTGGAAAACCATAATAATGTGGCAGGTTACAGGATTACAGATTCATTTAAAAATAAATAGAAAAAAATCACATAACATCACAAGAAATCTTATAATAGAATCTACATAGACTCTACTTATACAATATCAATGTTGTTTATAAAAACAAGAGTGATCCAAGCTGATATAATAGATTAAATTAAAATGCCTATGTTAATTGTTTTCTCTCTTCTTTTTGTTTTAAAGTCTTGGAGCTTTTGGTCTTGAATCTCTTGATGTAAATAAAGGAGCGGTTGTGAATAATGTGTCTTTACACATTTGCATTTAACTGTTCCTTTTTGTTCTAGGCTTTAAACACCCTCTGAAAAACAGCTGAAAAAAAATATTTGGCTGCAGAAAGACCCGAGTCAAGGTAGTATAAACAAGTAATTACCAAGAATGGGAGATGAAGGTGCAGGCGAACCCTTTGTGGGTTTAGTGACTGGTGGGGCCACAGATTATGAAGGCATCCTTCCCTCAGATACAGTTTCCCTGAGTGACTCAGATTCAGAAGATTTTGAGTTTGCAGGCAATGCTGAAGTTGATGCTGAATCCCCTGAGGAGCCCCTTTCTTCAGATGATGTGGATTATGAATCAAATAAGAGTGGTGACGCTTTGCACAGCAGCCAAAAATCATTTGTTCAGCCATTTCATTTGAAAGGCATGAGTTCAAGCTTTTCACAGCGCAGCCAGAACATTTTTGATTGTCTGGAAGGAGCAGCCAAGCAGGCAGTGCCGTTGATGGCTGAAGACAGTGTCATTGATAGAAAGTTTAAACGCCCTCTGCCGCCACCCAGCATTTCAAACAAGATGCCTGTGGAAAGCTTTGGAAGACAACATGAGCCAATTCAATCTAAAAAAAGTTCTCCAGCAGTTCCTGATTATGTGGCCCATCCAGAACGCTGGACCAAGTACAGTTTGGAGGATGTTGCAGAATGTAGTGATAATACCAACAGATCAGTTGCTATGGAGTTCCTGAGTGGCCTGAAGAAGGGTAGAAAGGAACAAAGCTCAACATGTCCTGAAAATTATACACCATCTTTCAACCAGGATGCTTCTAGCTCTGGTGCAGGAAGAATTGTCTTTACCAAACCCACAAAGGCAGGCTTAGACAGGTCAGAAAGAAAAAGAGTAGCTTCAACAGAGGAAAAGGAGGAGGCCAACATTATTAATGCAAACCAAGAGGTCAAAGGAAGGCCTTTGTGTAACTTGGATGCCCAGAATAAAGGTGATATAATGGTAGTAGATCCCTTAGGGAGCAGAGTAAAAGAAGTGGAAGATTGGGAGCAGCTGAAATTAGAAGAACTAGGTCCTCAAACAGCCAACACAGGTTTTCCAGAGGTGCATGAAGAGAATGTGATGGCAACCGTGGGGTTCCATGGTAGCAAGAAAAGGAGTAGGAAACATTTGCGAGCCAAAGCTAACCATGATGAAGAAGAAGACGAATCCTAAAAGCCAGAAACATATTTGTCTTTTCCCAGTGATTGCTTATGCAAAATATTTTCTTCATCATTTGCATGAATTTGGGCAATTTGTTTCCCTTAACATGCTTGGAGCTGTGACTTAAAGTACTTGTAACTTTGCCCTTTCCAATGAAACCCTTTCCAACAGTAAAAATTATGAGACATTTTGCTTTGAGATAGTCCAACAATACCTGCAGAGTTTCTGCCTATGAAGTAAGTCTCGGCTATTAATACCAAAACTTGTGACTAAATATTAGCATCTCCATGAACTCATAACTGACAAAACATGTCCTGTGGATGAGATGCAAGATTTGTCTGTTTACTGTAGCTGAGGCAAAGGTTTAACCAATATTATTTCACACCATGAATTAAGAGTACGAAAAATGACAACTCATATGTTGCTTGGGTAGAGATGAGGAGATGTAAACATACTATATGTTAAGATCATAGGAAAAGTTTTACAGAATTGGAAGAGATGATTTCTAAAATTAAATATAGCCAACAAATCCATACCTAGACTTGATTGGATCAGACTGTTGAATTGCCACAACTTCCCTGACAACTAAAGTTTTTTTTCTCCATTTTGAGAGCTGCTCCTAAAGTACAGGGATTCGTATCAGCCTAATTGGGTTTGTGAGGAATAAAGGAGCTTAAAATAGGCTTTGTAGCAGAACATCCTTTTCATATTTTTTGGTGTCAATAAAACTTGGGAATGACTGCTTCACTTGGTTCAGAATTTTGTGTCTCTGTGTTAACAACTAGCCATTTGTGTCAAGAGCTAACTATATTTCCCTCTCTACCCTTTTATGATACCCCTCCATACCCTTTTTCTGTTCATCATACCTTTTCTGTTCACACTTTCTGCCTTTGCATATAAGGAAACAAGATGTTCATCTTTTCATTGACTAATGCTAACCTTTGATGGTTAGCCACTTTAGTGGGTGAAGTAAACCCGGTCTTTATTTAGCAACTGCATTCTGTTCCAACGACTTGGTTGTTAAGTGAAATGGTTGCTAGGTGAACATGTGACAGAGAGAGACTACAAAGATTACTGGCTGCTGCCATCTCATTCAGATAAAGTTCTCTTGTACAGCTATGTCAGCGTTACTCTCACTCTGGCATGCATTGTTGTCAAGGTCATAAATACACACATTGGTTTTTATTACTATTTACAGGTAGTCCTCATCTAGTAACTACAGTTGGGAGCGGCAACTCAGTCATTAAGTGAAACAGTTGCTAAGTGAAACCACAACGGTGCTTATGATCTTACTTCAGCTTTTCTTTGCTTTACAGACCTGCAAAAGTTGTAAATGTATGGATTGGTCGCAAAGCTACTTTTTTATCACCATTGTAACTGCAGTCGCTGTTTGAGGCAGTTGCTAAACAAGGACTACCTGTATAGTTGGATTGAAACTATTTTGCAATCTAATGGCACTAAAGAAATAAAGGTAATGAAGCTGTAGCACTGTTAACCCATGTGGATTGATCAGTGGAAACTAAGATCGGAAATTCTACACTAGTAATAGGGCTAATTTCAAGAAGAAAAGCACAAAACGGGAAGAAGATCAATGAATGCTACGTACAACTGTATCCAGGAAGTATAATAATTTGAAAATACACAAGGTACATTATATAAATGTTGCTTGGTTATAAAAAATATTATTGGAAGGGTCTGGTCTAAATGAATTTGCAGAGTCATACATAATGTAAGATTTATTTTAATGGTGCAGATTGGAATTAGAAACACAGGTAATATTTTTGAGATTCAGGTAGATGGGTTACTGAAAATGAACAGTCTTCTAAAGCACATTGGATACAATGTTAAAATTAGGAAAGTTTTATGTAGTTATGATGCAGCAGTACTCTGACATTAAAAAAAAGATCCATTAATTGAGCTGACAAAATTATACAGAGAAGTATCTGATCTGTTACAATCAGCTATCTATGTACATCACATTGTCAAACTGACTGGTGTCTACCCCATCTTCTTTTTCTGGTACAGCCATTTGATCAGTGCCTGTATTTATGAAACATATGAAAATTTAAATGAAAATATTGGTTATTATAAAAAGTGAGCAGCAGAACAAGCTTTGAACAAGTTACATCTTGTAGTTCCTCTTATCAAAGCTAGCTTGTCTTTTATTAAAAAAGAAAAGCCTTTCTTATATGTTTTCTATGCATTTCAGTAGAGATGTTCAATAATGGGAAAACAATAGATGTACAATCCTTGAAGGTTAATCTGGCATGTTTTTATGGACCAAATTCCACTACAACAGATGCATTTAGGATTGCTCTCAATTTGCCTGAGTATCAGGTTGAAAACACCTATTTTTATCTTAATTTACATATTCATTAATTTTTTGTTACAAGAAAGTCCATTTGTGCTTAATTTTAACATGTATTATCAAGACGTGTTTATTTTTACCTGGCTTAAAAGAGAAGTAAGGAGGTTTGAGGCCTTCCGTATCCAAAAAGAGGCAAAACTTTGGGAGCTTCTGTGCTAAGCTATCATAATACTCATAACTGGGTGTGAGGTTTTTTTTCCCCCTTCTCACTAGCAGGTATTAAATTAATTAACTGGTATGGCCAGTTCCTGCTGTTGTGTCTGGGGTATTTCTTGTCCTGCCTATATGCAATTCTTAAATATCCCAAGCTTGATATTCAAGTGCCCCTTCTGTGCCTGCTGAGACTGATACCTGAGGGAGCCTTGTGGTAAGTTAATAATTGTATGGCATATGCATTTTAATGCAGAAAAACATGTAGCTGTAAGAAATTGGGTAAGTTTTAAGATGTCACAAGACTGTCCAAAGGTGGTAGGGAGTGTTTGTTTTGTTTTGATACCTTCAGGTTAGTTTTGACTCCTGGCAACTGCCTGGAGCAGTCCATGCAGTTTTCCTGGCAAGATTTTCAGAAGTGGTTTGTCCTTGCCTGCTTCCTAGGCCTGAGAGGGAGTGACTGGCCCAAGGTCACGAAGCTGGCTTCATGCCTAAGGTGGGACTAAAACTCAGAGTCTCCCCGTTTCTAGGCTGGTGCCTTAACCGCTACACCAAACTGGCTCTCCTTCCAAAGTTACTCCTGTGGAAACAAGCATCTGAAAGCACACAGTGGAAGAGCCTTCCTGAAGCTAACCAGGCCCCAAGATGGGCTGTACTTTCTTAGACCGCTGTAATGGGCAGAAGGAATAACATTGAGGAACCAGAGGATGAGCCACAACCAAGACAAAGGTCAGATAAAAGAAACCTGAGTCCAGGGCAGAACTGTAACCTGAGAATGTATCTCAGACAAGACCCTCCCTAGTTCACACAAAGATGGAGGGAGGGAGGGAGGGAGGGAGGAAGCACATTCAGACTTGTAAGATTCTGTTAGTACAACCTTATAATAAAAGTATTTGCATGCATGACTTTGGTTTCCTAGTCTAGTCTACCTTGCTGACAACCACCATCAGATAAATTGTAGAAATGTCGAAATTCAACATTTGAATGTCTCAGTCTTTCTTAAAATGAGTTTTTAAAGCTAGACACTCGATTATGTTATTTGTTGTGCTGTCCTCTGTTCAAGTTGCTTCGGTGGTATATGCGCCCACCTCTCCCCACTTAATTCTCACCACGCCCTTGCAGTATGAGTTTGGCTAATGGGAAAGTGGCTGGCATGAAGAGGTCACTTTGTGCTGCATGCCCACCTTCGTCCCATATTTTCACATGGGAGGTTGAGGTGGAGTAAAGCGGGTTTGCTGTGAGCTACCTAGCCAGGCAAGAGCATGGCAAGATTTTAAGTTCCTAACTATTACATCCTTGTGGCTTTTTGTTATAATATAATGATTAAGGAAATAACAAGGTCTACACATTCCTAAGGGCCATGGCTTGTTTACCCATAGTTTATTGAATAAAGTATAGTTTGTTTTGTTGGCACAACTTTGTTTAGATTTGTTTGTTTAGATTTGATTTTTAATGGATTAGTTATTTATGGGGGATTTTTAATTGTTGATGGGGTTTCTGATTTTAATTGTGAGCCGCTCAGAGTCACCCACTGGGGGGAGATGGGCGGCATACAAATTTAATAATAAATAAATAAACAAACTTGTTAAGCATGAATTAAAATGGTGCATTCATAAAACACAGCCCAAACCAAGCAAACTGCATTATGATTTAATACAATATGTGACAACTCACAGCCAATGTTGTTCTTAGCAGTTATGGACTCTTCTACAGCAATTTGGTATAAGTTGTGTATTAGTTTTTATGGACTTTGCTATCTAGTCTTTTTTTTTTTTTTTTTACTGTTTTGCCTTCCTCCCCCACCCCCACCCACGAAATCTTTGTCAGCACATTACTCACATGTATAGTTCAGAGTTGGCTTGTTGAAAAATAAGCTGTTTTTCACTAAGGCATCTGCCACTGAAGAAAGCATAACTGTGCAATAGCTAATCTGCATAATAAAAACAAGTTATTTGGATCCCATTACTATTCAAATGACATACCATAATTATAATGCTAATTATAGAAAAGATCTGTGGAAGCAAAGCTGACGGCATAGCGTTTTTCTTTTGTGATGCAGTCATAGAATCTGAGAATGCGGCCATAGGCTGGACTTTGAAACCCTCTACCCATTTACTAAGGGTTGACCCTTCAGTAGGTTTACTTCTAGATAGCTGCATATACAGTATATTTGCTTTTGCAACATTTCTTCTTAGCTCTTTTGTTACATTGAGACCCTTGAATCTATGAACTGTGCATTGGGTTTACAATCCAGAAGTGTCATTTGAATGGAATATAAGAGATTTTGAAGGTATACCTGTTATTCTGCTTCAACAGAGCAAAGAAAGTCCTTAACAAAGTCAAGACAAATGAAAAACAATCTGGAATTATATTAGAGGTTTCCCCCACTAGAGAAGGGCAGATGATTATATGCCACAGACTACATTTTATAGTAGTGTTTTCATAATGTCTGTAAACTTCAATGAAGTCTCCTCCTTCCAGAGAAGGCCATAAACTATTGTTTATCCCCCTCACCTAAACATGCTCCAAACAAAAAAATATTAGGGCATGAAATCCTATCCTGGCATGATTTCTGAAAGTTAATCTTGTAAACATATACTGTACAATTTAATCCATGATATATATGTTACTATGTATGAAGAAATAAAAAATTGTGCTGCTGAAGCATGAAAAGTAGAATTCTTACTTGTGACTCCAAAGATCTAAGCTGTTTCTCTTGCTCTTTTAGGCCACTAAAATTCTTTAAAAGGTTGTCCACCCTGTTTTAAAATAAACAAACACCAATAGAGTCAGAACAAGAAAGTTGTCATTAGAGGAGGTCCTGAAGAGCTCATTAAAGCATACACAAAAAACATCCAAGACATGTTCAGGATAGTTTCTACTGCAGATAATTTCAGCGAATTAATAATTAGTCATCCTTCTAGGAAATGGACAGCAAGATTGAATCCATCCACCTACTAACTCCTATCTTCTTGCAGATAGTGTTCTTGAGTGATCGCTATCTGCTGCTCAAATTCCATGTACATAGATTCTACATGGAGGTAACAGTTGACACTTCTGTGCAATCCTGACCTAGTCAGAAGTCAACCTATAGCCTTCAGTGATCCTATGGGAGACATTGTGTGTCCGAATTGGAATAAGACATTAGAATCTGTGTTGTTCATCTCTACATCATAGCTTAGGTAAACACAAAGAATGACTTGTATTAATGCCATTCCTGTCATTCTCATGCAAGGGCTCTATTCCAAATAACGTGTGTACATTTTTGAATGCTGGAATTACCCATATCACTTAGGGAAGAATCTGTTTGTACACATCTGCAGTTCATCACTAGCATGGGTTGGATTGAAGAACAACAATGTTGGATTAAGTTGCATGTGGGGGGGTGCAGTTAACAACTCCAGAAGAAAGGGAAATGAGCAAAAAGTAAGAGAATGATAACAAAATAAATAAAGCCATCCTTCCATTATAAAATGTTTGCTGCTGACTATTATAAATACGTTGCTTGCTTTTTAATTACTACCAAACCACGTTTTAC